CAGATTTGTTGAGGTTCAAGATTTGAACTGGGGACTTTTCTGCCAAAGTATCCCAAGCGCGTTTGGCTGAACTGGTGTTTCTAATGAGGGAAGAAGCTTCCCGCCCGCAAGAAATTTGGATTTTATGTAAAGCCGTGGCATTCTTCTCCCTCCAAGCTTTGAACTTATCATCAGCTTCTTCTTCTTCTTCTTCTTCGTCTTCTTCCACTACATCCCAAAGGTCTTGAGCCAACAAGTTTGTTTTAACCCATACACTCCAATCCACATAGTTACTGCTATCAAGAAGTTCCACAACAGCTGCATGTGCGGAGACGGCCATTCTTAGATAACATAATTCATTTATTTTTTGTGTTAATAATTGAATGAATTGTACACATGCATATAATATGTATGTAGCTCTTTCTTTTTCCAGTCATATCAAGAATATGATCCAAGAAAAAGAATCATTATTTATCAGTTTTTATTTTTCGCTATCATTCCCAACATTTTGATCCAGGAAAAAAACAAGTTTATCATATGCGAAAAGGCCCTACAAAGTGTCTCCTCAATAATGTGATTGGAGGGATATACCTCAATCGAAGGGGATGGCTGAAGTTAAAACATCCACTATATTTTTTTTCGGGGCAAAAAGTCACTTTGAGTCCCTGTAATTTATTAGTTTTACCACTTTGGTCCCTGTCGTTCCAATTTGATCAATTTTGTTCCTGTGATTTCAATTTAAAGTAATTCAAGGACAATGTCTCATTTCTGTCAAATTAGAGTAACTTATGTTACTTTTTGAGGGGCATTTCGGTCCTAAAACAAAGGCTGGAAAAACAAGAAAAAGAAAAAGAAAAGGAGAGAAAAGCCCTCCCCCAAACCACCAACCCAACCTGTCCACACTCCGCCCCAATCTTCCAAACCCATTACAACTCCACCACATCTGTTATGACGTCAAGATCATGTACTCTTTCTTGTCTACTTTTCAATTCCTTCACGCCAGCCCAATCACCCATAACCCGTTCCCTCTCATTTCTCTCTTGCTGACTGCATCTTCATGTGTCTTCTATGGTTTTTTTGCTTTTTAAATGGAATTTATTGACGAATATTGGGATCACATCACTCATGACCTAGCTACCTGCTTCGAAAATTCATCATCTCACCCAATTAAATTCCTTCAAGAAAAAATAAAAATAAATAGAGGGTTGCCTTCAGTTTGCAAATACATTTCAAATGGATATTACAAATACATTTTAGAGGTTACCAAATGGCCAGATCCAGATCCATCGTTGATGGAATCTGTGTTTTTAGGAGTGGATGAAGGGTTTGGGTTGATGAGTTGTGCTGGGAAAGAAGGGGTGGGTTCGGAACAGGGAGCGAGGGAGGGGGAGGTCTTGGCGGAGTAGGTGACTGTGTGGGTCACGGGTTGGGCTTGGGAGAAGAGAGAGAGAGAGAGAGGTTGGGGGTGTCTTGAGAAGTTTTGTGGTGAGAGGGTGGTTGCTGGGTGGGTGATGTTGGCCAGTGGCTTGTTGGGTGAGGTTGGAGTGGTGGTGGTGAAGGTAGTTGGGTGATAGTTGTGGTTTGATGGTGAAGTTAGGGGAGGGGGAGGGGGAAGGGGAGGGAGAAGAAGAGAGCTTTTTTATTTTTTTATGTTTATAAATTAATTTTTTCATTTTGTTTTGTTTATTTTTAAAAGGAATGATTTTTTTAATAATTTGACCGAATTGTCCCTCCACGGGTAACAGAAGCTACTCTAATTTGACAGAAATGAGAGATTTCTTTGAATTGCTTCAAATTGAAACTAAAGGGACAAAATTGACCAAATTAAAACGACATGTACAAAGTGATAAAAGTGGTAAATTACAAGAACCAAAAGTGACTTTTTATCTTTTTTTTTATTTATAGTAAAACCTCCACTCTTTGCAGCACGTTTGTTACATTAATATATTATTACGATTTGAAGTATACTTCGTTTTCCCTCCCTCATGAATTATATAGATTGTGTCAATCTACCCCCAAACTTTTATTTCAACCAAATTTTCCCATAAAATATACAAAATTGGTGAATCTACCCAACTATAATTCCTACCAATTATTACTTCAACCATGTCCTCAATTATTAAAGTACGTTTTAAGAGACTCATGATCATTTGACATCATATTCTTTACAAAAGGTGGCACTAATTGTCATTTTGCAAAGTTAGGTGCTTAGCAATTGACTAACTTCAAAGACTTTCAAGGCAACTTTTTTTTGTAAAGAATATGGCGTGAAATGAGCATTTGTTTTGCCTGACATCTTGAACGGAATTGCTCGGAATATGAGCATGGGGTATAAATTGGGTAGTTTTGTGATTCATGGAGCCAATGGGGTAAATTGACACCGTTAGATTTAATTTCCACATTGTTACATGTAATTTGCATAAGGATATATATTTCTTTTCGGATACAGTAAGTCTAGGGAGACCAAAATCTAAAAGAACAAAATGTAAACTGATCAGTCCTTACATCCGTGCTAGTATAATAAGAAACAGAAATAGTGGTCTTGTGGTTAATCAATTTAATGTTTAGAGTATAATTTGGTTATATAATATATATATTTCTGGTTTAAGTCGAATATTTACTTCTCACAGATTTGTTGAGATTCAAGATTTGAACTGGGGACTTACCTGGTTTTGGCTTGAACTTTTCTGCCAAAGTATCCCAAGCGCGTTTGGCTGAAGTGGTGTTTCTAATGAGGGAAAAAGCTTCCCGCCCGCAAGAAATTTGGATTTTATGTAAAGCCGTGGCATTCTTCTTCTTCGAAACTTTGAACTTATCATCAGCTTCTTCTTCTTCGTCTTCTTCCACTACATCCCAAAGGTCTTGAGCCAACAAGTAAGTTTTAACCAATACACTCCAATCCACATAGTTACGGCTATCAAGAAGTTCCACAACAGCTCTATCTGTGGAGACGGCCATTCTTAGATGGATCTGACCAAGGGCTTACTTAGGAGAGGCTTTGCAATTTCTGTTTCATTTACTATACCCAATTGAGTGAAGAACCACTTGTTAAAGCAATGGGGGTCCGCGAAGGGTTTACTTAGGAGGGCTTACTTAGGTGAGGATTATGTGATACACCCGCTCATTACTGAGTCTTTTTTTATCAGAAGAGTCTTCTAATTGGTATAGGCCCCTACTGGCTACTGCTAATGGACAAGTTACAGCTGGTTCGTTTCTGTCTTGTTTCAACTCATTCACACTTGCTTTTGTCCGATCACATTATGAATTGACCAATAAAGTTTGATGAACTCCGGTGATATCGTTGAAGATAAAAGTGTCCACTTAGGACACTTTTTCTCTCTCTTCTTTTCTTTATCTTTTCTTCTCCCTCTTGTTTTGTTTCCGTCTTTTGCTCTGTGTCCTTTTTCTTTTAATTGTCAGTTTTGTTTTTCACTTTTATTATGCTGGCAACTTTGTAATCTCTCAAAAGTTTTTTTTTTTTTCCCCCTTTTATTTTTCTCAACTGATACATTTTTTTTTAGTTTTTATTTTCCTTTATGAGTCAAGTCTTTGTGGCCCTTTTCAACTCTAGCTTCAATAATCCCCCTACAATCAAAGTTGACAGTGGTTGGGAAGTTGATTTGATTTTGGTGGTAAATGTATGTATCAAGAGTGCCTTCTCGTGGTTTTGTCCAAATCCACAAAATCCACCGCCAATTAAGTGAAAAGATCTTATCCCGTGAATGAGATTTGGAAAAAGAATGTTGTTGAAAATGACTTGGTGGGATGTGACTGCAACTGCAAACTCTAGCGACTCATAAAAAATGTACATAGAATACTAGAACCAAAGTTCGATACGTAAACAAAGCACAATCGAAATTACATTTTTACTGAGTTTGAATCCATGAAGGGGCACTCACACTTTGAAACTATGTTCATCTTTTGACACCCATGGTGCCAAACTTTGATTTCCTAAGAACAGCTTTGTACATCAAGGATTCAGGGTCGAGTAATTAAAACTCAAAACATCGCCTGCCATACACACAAAAAAATACATAGAACATGCAACATCACCGTGGACTGGCACTCCCAAGTCTGTTCAAGCGGCTAGAGCTAAAAACTGATTTATTCCGGCAGTCGGAATCTTGAGCCAAACTAGTATCTGAACAAGTTCCTGCATCCCAAAATTTCTGAACAGACAACATTGTTACATGTCATTGCTTAAACAAAACCATTATAATTATAAATTCAATTCAATTTACAAGGGCTTACTCAGGAGAGGCTTTGCAATGTCTGTTATATTTACTATACCCAATTGAGTAATCACTTGTTAAAGCAATGGGGTCCGCGAAGGGTGAGGATTATGTGATTTACCATTTCCAATTCGTTGACGTAATTAAAAAAATTCAACCAAGAGTAATTTACCCTTGAGGTTTTTAGGGTTTTTATATAATTCCTTCATATCATGATAATTACACAAATACCTTTTCAAGTTTCAAGACTCCATGAACAGCCAAAACACTCTTATCCAAATAGTAATATACCCTTGGTTGAATACCATCTCAATTCTTGCACACATCATTCAAAGAGACTAAATGTACCACATAAGTCTTAAAAAAACAAAAAATCATAATGCAAGGATAATAATGGTATTTCACACATCATTCAAATTTAAAAATATTAGGAGACACGTAGAATCACACTTTTTGACACACCATTTAAATTATCGAATTAAGTAAGTTTCAACGACTAGAATTGCATTTGTTTAATGGGCAATCCTTTTCTTTCACACATCATTCAAATTTAAAAATAAACATTGGGGACAACCGAGCAACTCAACTTTTAAGACTATTAATTATTTTATAGAAAATTTGGCATAAGTCCAATTATGAGGAGAGATTTTGGGTGCAATCCACGCAGAAATTGTTGTTGATCCAAGTCCTTTGACTTTTTCACCACATAAGATTACATGCCTATTTCAATTTATTGATATTTACTTTTTTTTTTTTTTTTTGTGTTCCAGTTATGCACCTAAAACATAAATAAGGTAAATTATGAATTCCTAAAACTGGCAAGTTATTGATTTGTAGGATATTAATTATCATATTTGATTTGAATTTAATTGCAAATCTATTTATTGAATTCTGAAATTTTCCCAAGGTATACCGACATCAAAATTTGTAATAAGAGTTCATAAAAACTTCATACCTTAACAATAGGTAAGGTACCTATGCATACACCTCGTATGTAGGTAATTAAACCCATAAATTACCTCTGGTCCAGGTAATTAAATCCATAAATTACCTCTAGTCTAGGTAGTTATACCCTATAGCCCAGCTAATTGAACTCATATAATATCTTGGTATGGATCTTTAAACTCAACTGTGATAAAAATCCATACAAAATTTCCTTGGAAAAAAAAATACTATTACATGGAAGACATGTACGTATGTATATAAATATAAACCTCCAGAAAAAACTGCTTAAGAAAACTCAAGAAAAAAAACACTTACTTGTAAGGCAGGTACATATATACCTGAATGTATTAACATTATTTACCTGTATGTCAGGTACATAATTTAATGTGGGGGCTTGTCTGATCGATTGGTATAATATGTGAGTCTTTACTTTTTATTGATTAAATTGTATTTTATCTATATATTAGGAATATTATCAAGGAAAAAAAATTCAAAATTTGGAATTCAATTTCAAGGAAATAATGCAATAAATTTAGATTTTCAATGTGTTTTCCTTATTTACCTTAAAGGGTAAAATCGACACAACAAAAAAGTAATAAATGTCAAAGGACCTACATCTAAAACCAAAAACACGAGGACTAGACCCAATGACAGCTAATTGTTTTGGACCTAGATCTAAGAACCTCATTATTTTATTATATTCTCTCTCCCCTCTCTTCCTTTTTTTGTTTAATGGGCAATCCTTTTCTTTCATCTTCTATCTTCTTTCCCGCTGCTTTCTCTGGCTTTATTGTACTAGAGTTTACACGCACACACACCCTCAAAAAGTTTCCAACGAATTCCTTGTTGAAAAGAGTTTTGTAGTTTATTTTCCTTCTTCATAACATTTGGTCATTGCTGCTGTAAAAGAGCTAATAATATTAGTGTCCACGAAATTTAATGATTTCAAACAGTGAAGGAAATATAGATTAATAAGCATTTTGTCAGTCTTTGTTTAATAAATTTAATGAATTAGACTTGGAGTAAAGAATGACTTGTTAAAGTAGTTAGCATGTTGGTAATTGCCAGTCTTTGTTTAATAAGCATTTTGTCTAAGTCTTTGTTCACACGTGGATATCAGAAATCTCAGCATATTTTTCGTAACAAAACATATTTTTAAAATCCGAATTGATACACAATATTCAAAAAGTACTTGACGCAAAAAGCAAACAAAAGACTGAAATTTCAAATTATTCAAAACGTATTTGTCGATGATGGTAGGTACTAGGTAAGGTCCCGCATTTGGATCTGGGTTTTGGAAATAGTCCGATGCGCCAATGGTGCAAATGTGAAAAGAGAAAGAACTACGTATGGCTTGATCCCTTTGAAAGGGTACGTAGGCAACCTAGAGTTACTAGGTGCAGCCACAAGATCAAGTGTTGAAAGATTGTTCAGTTGGGTTATAATGAAATTTGATGAAGGATTCACATTATTCTAAGAACTGAGTTTAGATTCACAGGGTGGAATGTGTTATTTGATTTATGGAGGCCTGAGGCAAGTTAAAGCTATTTGTCTTATGCATGTTGAACGATTGGGATTTGTTTTTCAATGATTAATTGTATATTTACAGGTGAAAAGTTATTGGGAAACGAGCAATTTACAGGGGAGACTCTGCCGAATTTCCGGCAGAAGTCAAACTCGAAAAAGAATTTTGAGACGTAATTAGAAGGGCAATTTGGTCAAGTGTGCCCGGCACCTGCCAGGTGTCGGACACACACAGGGATCGGCTCAGATTCTAAAGCAGAATTTGGGTCAGGTCCTGTCAAATCCAATATTGCATACAATAAATATATATATGTTTTAAAAAATATATATAACGTGTTAAAGTACTGGCGAAACAAGGACCGCGCTTTTTCATTCCAAGCATTTTTTTTTTTGGTAAAATAATTCCAAGCATTCTTTAATACAAGCCAGGGCGACGAAAGGAACAAAAACAGAAACTGGATCGGTGTTTGTGTGAATGCTGTGTTGTCATGGTCTTTGTTCAGTTAGCATATTGTCTAGTTCTTGTTTTTGCTTGTATGGTCTTTGTTCACACATGTGAATCTGTGATGTTGCGAAGTCTTACTAAGGATTTTTCTTAGTTAGTCTTTAAAGAAAAAAAATTTAAAAATAGCTCACCGAGTATGTCTACTAATAGTCTTTGTTTATATTAACATCTACATGGTCACAACTAAAAAAGAAAAACAACAGAAAGTGAGGAGAAACTAAAGGACAATGGAGATTAATAGGAAGAGTAGAAATCTGACTTCATGTCGGGTGACCATTTCAACTTTCCATTTCCGTCTGATATCAAATTGGGTGATGCTAATACTATGGACCGACACCCCAAAATACTCTTTAGACGCCAAGCACCCACATTTTCGGTTTATGAAATGCTCACTGCTTGCAAGTTGCATATATCTTATCTTAACTGAGTCCTCTCCGCAAACTTTATACTCCCAAGTCCCAAGAACAATGATATTGCCAAAGAAAAATAAGATGAAATAATTCAACACTTTACAGGACCATGGAAGAGCATTTTCTTCTCATCACCGTTGCCCGACTCTTTTGTATTGGTTTGTGTGTACGGCATTCTTCTTCCTCCAATCCTTGAACCGATGGGTCATCTTCTTCTGATGTAAGAGGTTCAACTGAAGGCTCAATGACATTCCAAAGGTCTTGAGCCAACAAGTAATACTCAAAAGTAATTAGGATTTAAATTCATATGGACTAATGTCAATTGGACTAATAAAGCCCAAACCTCTGCTTTCCGATCGAAAAGGCTAAAATGAGGAGGTTGAGTGAGGAGCTTATTTGAGGAGGTGAAATCTCACCATCAACAACCAAAAACAAAGTACATGGGGGGGGTGCATTAGGGGGTCCACACCCCTTTTGATGGTGAGATGGGCCTCCTCAAATAAG